ATACACACACACACACACACACACACACACACACACATATATATATATATATATATATATATATATATATATATGTGCAATGTTGTTTTTGTAATTTTGTAAATTGCCTCATCTAAGGGTGTTTTTTTTTTCTTTTGCAAATTGAGGACCTGACCCTCAAAATGTCTATGCACGTGCCTGCTGTGGTGTAAATCAGCGGATTACAATAAACTGACTGCATAATATATAGCGTAAGTGTAAAGTGAATTTTCACTTAGGTCAGAGGTGCCACAGCAGGGCAGACAATTGCAGACGACTCAGAGATAAAGGGCATCCTAAACTGAAGGGGATGCTGGGGGACGTGCTGATATTGGTCCATGTTAATGACAGAGCTCTGCTTTGAATGAGTTGTCAGCAACTCCCACATTTGGACCCGTCCACAAACTGACCAGCCCTCGCAGGATGCATGAAGTGAAAACAAAATGCCAAGTATGCGCTGCTTTTATGTTGATGCGCACATGTCTGGGATGCAACCAAACAACAGCAGCATATTGTCTTCAGTATTGTAAACTTTGAGATATTGTCGGTGTTTCGTGACTTCTCCGTCAATGACTTGATCAAAAGAACAAATAGCACCTTTGCCAACTGTGATCCTCATGTTTGCAAATTCAAGAATCTACTAACACACTGGAGGCAAAGGGGGAATCAATTGAGGTTACATGGAGTGACACTTGACAACCTTTTCAGTTTCCCATGTTGCTCGTTCTAAAAATTTATTGGCCACCCCTGACTTACAATATGGGATGCCCGATCTGGCACAGTTCTATTGGGCAGCAGGCCCATTCAACCTTTTTTGCAATTTGTTGCAGGCCTCGAATTCAAAATAGTTTTTGAGAGAGAAATAAATAAACAAACAAACAAACAAACAAACAAACAAATAAATAAAATCTTTTCCTGGTAGTGTATTAAAAAAATATATTGTTTGCTGAAAAAGATGTCCAAATCATTGTATTCTGTTTTTATTTACATTTTAAGCACTGTCCCAACTTCACTGAAATTGGAGGTTGTATGAATAGGAAGGTAACTCATATGTGCTGGGCAACTTTGATGATCGTGGGGGACTCAAGTGTTTTATCCTGCCCTTTAGGCAGGATTATGCCATACAGTATTTGTAAAACTTACCAGCAAATATCCCCTGAACTGGTTGTAGATAATGGCTGTCAGTAAATTCATCATGCAATACGTTCCTGGTAGGAAACAGACAATGAAACATTCTACAGGACAAAGCAACACTTGTTTCAAGAAACAGGTAAACATTGAAATGAATGAGACAATGATAATAAATCTTACCCATGACACTGAAGGAGATAAAGAAGATGGCATAACCTCTGTTTTGAGAGTAGGCAGGGATCATCACTGCACAAAATCAAAACATTTGAAATTAAGAAAAAAAAAAAACTAAAGCAATCAGCTAACTAAAAACAACAATGCATGAAGGTAGCACTGTGGTATCATCGCTGAATGCAGTACCATCTGGATTGTTCGCTGTGGTGAGCAGCACCAGTAGGGAAGTAAGTGAAGTCGGCAGGTTTCGAAAATACACTTTCCACTCTTGATTTTTCAGTGGGTCCTGAACACAACCACACAGGGAGAGGGGTGAAAAACAAAAGCAGGCATTGCTTTTTGTGTCATGTACATAGAAACACATCAAAACAGAATACAACGATTTGCAACTTATGTTCAACCTATATTCAATTGAAAACATTCCAAAGACAAGATATTCAATGTTCAAATTAATCAACTTTATTAAATTGGAATTTTTGGGTTCCAACACATTCCAAAGAACCTGCGATAGTGGCTAAAAGACCAAAGACAGTTGAGAAATGCTAGTCAAACACCTATTTGGAACATCTCATAGGTGAACAGGCTAATTGGTAATAGGTGGCTACTATGATTGGGTATAAAAGGAGCTTCCTTGAATTACTCAGTCAATCACAAGCAAAGATGGGGTGAGGTTCACCTGTTTGTGAACAACTGTGTGAGAAATTAGAGTTTAATTAAAACCCATGTGCTGCAGTCGATCTAAATAAGTTTATATAACGCAACATACAATTTTACAAAAATTGTAAAAGTATTATTCCTGAATATTTATTTCACTTTCAACCACTCGACATGTTCAGTGGCATCAGTGCTATACATACACATATAGTTCTTATTTCTTTCTTTGTATTTTTGCCCTCTATGGACAATAAAAGCGGTATTGTGCTATGACCAAAACATAAATATAAATCTATATAAATAAAACATGAATTGGAATATTTCATATCACACACTTTTTATGCTGTGTCTTTGATTTAAAGATGACAATACGCAAAAATCTACAAAAATTGTAGAAATTGTAACATATGGGGTAACCCATGTGTTACAAACATCGTAGAAATTGCAGCACAAGGGGTAAATTACGGACAATGTTCCTCAATGTAAAATTGCGATGAATTTAGGGATTTCATCATGCACGGTCAAAAATATCATAAAAGGGTTCAGAGAATCTGGAGAAATCTCTGCATGTCAGCGGCAAGGCCGAAAACCAAGATTGAACACCTGTGACCTTCAGGCGGCACTGCATCAAAAAATATCAATATGTAAAGGATATCACCACATAGGCTCAGGAACACTTCAGAAAGTTTAGTTGAGTATACTTACAACTCACCTCAGTTTTGGGGAACAACAACATGCCAATCATGGTGAACAAACAGAGGTGAAGCGCCAACAGCAAAATAACACTGCGGGCACAACACAAAAGGAAACTCTTGTTCTGGGTATTGAAAAGCTTACAGGGAAAGTCAAGTAAAAAAAATGTGCTTGACAATATCTTCTATGTACCCACACTAGTCTAAACACGGCATTCTGATTAATCAGCAAAATCCACCCATTTCCATCCATCTCAGGGGACGGTGACCCTTTTTGCCACTTGCTATCGACTGAAATTGTCATGATTCGGTTTGGGACCAACAGGTGGCACTGTAGGGCTTCCCCTACAGCTGAACACCTGTTGGTCATTAGGTAATTGGTGGCTATAAAAGGACTCCAGGCCGACTACTCATTGTCGGGTCATTGTTTGTTGCTTTTTGCTGCTGTCATGTTTGTTTGTCAGTCATGTTTAGATCATGTTTTTGGTCATGTTTTTGTTATTGATAGTTTTGAGCTTCAGTCATGGTTTTTGTTTGATACTTTGGACTTTGTTTGTTTAGGATTTAGTTTTCTGTGTTTTATCAATACACTTCTTCATATACACCCTGCCTCTCCCTCTTGCCTGCTTTTTGGGTCCACCACCACCTCGCAACGTGACAGAAATTGGCATCACAGCTCCTCGGGGCTCAAGTAATGACCAATCACTGCTCACCTGATTTCTGGGCTTGGTCATGTGACGTTCACAAATGAAAAATCCTAATGTGTGGATTTTGCTGCTTCATTCAGATTTGTCGAATGCAATACAAATACTGTGATTAGACAAGTGGGTCGCGCATAGAACATAGTATTGGAAAGAACATTTTTAACGTGACACCGCTCTTAACAGCCAGTGTAACAAAAAAATTAATGGGTAATGTACTGTACAACAGGAGCGCCCAACCACCTGATCAAGGTCAAATGGTAGACGGCTCGCAAGTTCACCGCAAGGAGTGTCCGTGGAGGATTTTTTTTTTTTTTCGTGTATTGAGTGCATGTTATTATATGTTGGGATGGGTGAGAACGGATGCCAAGTTTAATCTTGGGCCGCTACCCGGCCTTATTTCTAGGCATCAGGACCGTGACTGTGGTGAATACCCTGTTGGCCCACCATCTCGTGGCCATTTCACGATTAGAAACTAAAGTCATAGATGTCTGACAGATGCTCATGAAGATGCAATTTCTCGAAGTCTATGTACATTTTTTTAATTTCTGTTAACGTTTTGTAGGAATAGAACGGGGATATCACTATTTTACGTACAATGTAAATTTGGTTTGTTTAAAACATTAAAAGTGTGCAACATATTCAGTATCATCCAACAAATGTGACAGTCAAATATGACACATTCAATTGCTAGTAACACAAATTGAGAAGGATTACGGATTAGGACAAAGCAGTTCAGACAATGGATGGATATTGAAATTAATTTTATTGTGGGTCCAATAAAAATATGTATTTTGTGAACAAATGGAAAAAATATCAAAGAATATTGCCATTCCTTCAATGCAATTGTAAGGGAAAATGCTAGATTGGTGTGTGTGTGTGTGTGTGTGTGTGTGT